CCTGTGCAGGCGTGGTGCGGAGCGGCGGCGCCGGCGCCTGGGATCCTAACATGCTGCGGCGCGGCCTGGAGTGAAGCTCGGCAGGTGCGTGCTGCACACGCATGCACGGCTTGCAGCAGGCACCCGCACCTGCAACGCGGCCAGGCACTGCCTCGCCTGCCCGCCTTCCCTCTCGCCGCCCTCCCGATTACTGTCTGAATTTCGCACCATCGGACAGCGGGACGCCGCCTCCCCTGCCCAGCACCCAGCCCCAGCCCCTCATTCCGCCGCGTCCCCTGCGCCGCCCCGTGCTGCCCCCCTCCTGTCATATGAAGATACATGCCTGTGTTGGTAGTACAAACGCACATGCACTCGCTCTCTCACTGGCAATCGCACCCACACCCGCAGGCGGTCAATGTGTGCTCAGCGCTGCAGTCGCGCGGCCTCAGCGCCGCAGACGCCGCGCGCGTGCTCGACTCTGGCCTGGCCCTGCGCCTGACGCTCTATGTTTCCGCCGATGACGGCAACAGCAGCAGCAGCAGCAGCAGCAGCAGCGAGGCAACCGCGGACTCGAGCGCCGGAGCTGGCGCCACCGCCGCCGGCCGGCTCGCTGACTTTGCGTTCGGCCTGCAGCTCGACGATGGTCGCTGCGAGCGCTTCTCATTTGAGAGCCACGTGCGCAGCCCGTCCTCTTATTTCTTCTACAGTGGCCGCCGACGGGCCCCGGAGGGCGCCGGCTGGCTGCGGGCCGAGCATCTGGTCGTCAAGTGCCCGCGCGGCTTCCGGCGCGCGTCTGTGCTGCTGCGCGCGCGCGGTGCGGCGGGCGGGGCCGCGGGCGCGGCGCCGGCTGTGAGGTTTGGGTCGGTGGAGCTATATTTTGTGCCGGCCTACGAGCCCTGAGGTTGCGACACTTTACTTTGGGTGAGGGGGTTGAAGGCTGTGACGGGCAATTCTGATTCTGACCTATGACTTGTGTTGGAGTGGCTGCCATGCTCACTTGAAAAGGATTGTGTGTGCGGCACAAGAGGGGTGCCCGACACCCGGACGGCGTCGTTCTGGCAACTTGCCCGCTGCCGCCCACCACCCCTCACTGTCACTCGTACTTGTGGGGCCGCTGCCCACTGTTCTGCGCTCGTGCGCGCCCCCCTTCCATGGCCATGGTGTACTCAGGGGTGGGCCCGTTGTTCTTATATTTGGGGGGGGGCACCTCTGTTGGGCTGGCAAACCAATGAAGCGCTCACAACGAGCGCTTGGTGGCATGTGCCTCACCATGCTGCCTTTGCGAGCAGTAAACAGCTGGGCCGTCTGTACAGAACACAGTGCCACCTTCTCGTCTGTACTATGAGTTTACTGCGCTCAAACCCTACATGCGTCCGGATGCGCTGCTCGACGCATGGCGCCTGCGTGTGCTTTAGGGTGATAGGCGTCTTGCTTGCCGCAGGCCCATGCGCCTGCCAGTGAACGCCGCACCCAGCGCGCATGCACGCGGGTTTGGCCCCTTTCCTGGGGTCTGCTGAAACCGGGAAAACAACATCGATGCACCAACCTAAGCAACAGCATTCCATCAACTGGTCTGCAATGTGCAGGGTTTTGGCCGCATTTATTGGGCCCTGCTGCAATGACAGCGGGCGTTGCCCCGTCAACCGCATGGGTTGCGGGGACAAGCCGCTGCAACAACACTGACCGCTGCCCATCGCCCGCCTCCTTCTGTATCATCACATCGCTCATTGTTACGGCCTGCCGCCCCTTGGCATGCAGTCCCAGCAGCAGCATGCCTCCGGCTCCTTGGTGGCGAGCCACCCATCGGCAGACTTGTAACGCCACCAGGTGGTGAGCTTCAGGTTTGGCAGCCGCGTGAGCGGCGCGATGGTGGCACACCTCTGAATCTTGGGTATGCAATGCAGCTCCAACTCAGGGATCCCCCTGAGGGCGTCCGCGGACCGCTCAGACATTGCGACCTCTGGCCAGCAGCTGTGCGACAAGACGAGGCGCAGCACCCGCAGGCGCGGCAGGGCCCCGATCGCCTTGAACAGCGGCTCTCCCGGCAGATGGTAAGTCACCTGCACCTGCAGCTCCCGCAGCTGCCGCAGCGAGCGCACTGCTCGTGCCCAGGCATCGAAAGAGGTGCAGTGGGCCGTGAACGCGGTGAGGCTGGTTAGGCCTGTCAACGCTGATAGGGCTTCGATTGCGTTTGGTTCCCTCCACGAGCCCCTCTGATGGCTGGAGGGCACGTACATGGCCAGGCGCTCCAGCTGGGTGAGCGTGGCCAGGGCCGGCAGCACGTCCGCTTTCGCGAAGTCTGCGGCGCGGCGGGGGTGCGGGGGTTGGATGCTGCGGCAACCAAGCACGCGCACGCTTGCTGGTTGGTCGTGGTGATGCCCCAAACCCAGCATGATACATGAGCTCGAACGTGCAGAGACACCCACAAAACACAACACACACACACACACACACAAACACACACACACACACACACGCGCGCGCGCGCGCGTGCACATGCACACACATACACACCACACCACCCCCTGCCTTGAGCCCACCCATACGTCTGCCATCCCATGACTCACCGTTCAGCATCACGTCGAGGCTCCGCAGCTGGGACAGGCCAGACAGGCGGCGCAGCTGCTGCGCCGGATACGGCACGGCAAGGCGGGTGTCAAAGGGGGCTGTGTTATCGGGGACCTGCACGCTGCCAGACCCGTCTACCAGCTGCGCCGCTTGCTCGCGCGGGCAGGTTCCGTACAGCTTCAGCACCACCAGCTGGCGCAGGCCGCCGGCCAGCACCCGTAGGTCTGCCCTCTGGTGGTTGCAGTCGCTCAGGTCCAGGCTGGTGAGGCCCGTCAGCCGCGCGAGCGGCGCGACGCTGATCGACCATTCCACCGTCGTCGACAGCTGCAGCCGCCGCAGGTTGCACAGCGGCCGCAGCAGCGCCGCCACGGCGCGGACGCGCCGGTCCCAGGTCGGTGCGCAACAGGGAGCCGCGGCTGCCACGGGTGATATGACGTCCTCCAGTGGGCCATCATCTTCAGTGCTGCATGCCAGGACCGCCGGCTTGGGCGCGCAGGGGAGCCTGCTCAGCGTGAGGCGCGCGGCGCGGATCTGGGGCGCCAGCAGGTCCCGCCACGCCCGGCAGACGGGCAGGGCCGCCCAAAGCCCGGCGGGGCCCAGGTGGGGCTCGAGGGCGTCGAGGATCTGGGGGGAAGATGCGGCAGCACAAGAGCATTGTTGGACGTATCATCTCCCAACAGACGCGTGGCAGGCAATGATCTAGCCTTCACAGGTAAGTTGGGTGAACGGGGAGGCCCCACCAAGGATGTTCATGAGTCTGCAGCGCAGGCGCGGCAAGGCGTTGCCGAGAAAGACAGGTGCGGCGGGCGCCATTCGCATCGGCCTGCCCAGCAACCTGCATCACCATGCTCCAGGCGCCGCGCAGGACGCCAGCGTGCATGCGCACCTCGCATGTAAGCAGGGTGGCGGCGGCGGCGGGCAGCGCTGCGCCCGCGCGGCTTCCGCTCGGCCGCGGGTGCCGCGCGCCTGGTCGTGCTGTTACAATGGCCTCGCAGGGATCGGGCTTGAACCTGGCCCCTGATCGTGTAGTTGACGCCGCTACATCCCTGCCGGCACAGGCCAAGAGCGGGCGAGGCGCGGGCGACAGGTTTGGCACACAGGCTTTGGAACGTCCATGCGAAGCAGATCGCTGCGCTGCCAGCATTTAGGCTGCGGTCGTGTCCAACGCGCCGGACGCACCCGGCCGGTGAGCGCCGCGTCCTCATGGTAAGAACGCGAAGAGGCCTTTGCGAAACTTTTGAATTGCGCAGCTGATCAGTGGCGGGCTGGCGAACAAGATGTGCTCCAGGTTATTATATTGACTCCAAGTACCGTGCATTTCTTGTTGTGGGGTCGCTCATGGTACCGCATCAGGTCGCACACCCTACCGTTGGCGCCAGGTTGGCGCAGGTGGCGGCGGCGAGCAGGCGGTGAGGCACCTTGTCAAACGAGCGGATGGTGATGCGCCAGATCTTGTCAACGTTGCAGCCAAGCCAGACAGGCATGAACCTGGACGCCACAACTTGCTGCGCTGCATGCCACCGTTGTCACCGGACGTTTCTGTGTGTGCACGTGGCGCCGACTTGACTTTGATTGACCTGGTACCTGCAACACCGCCTGCACCGTGCTGTCACTGATGGACACATGTGTACACACTGCCGAAAAGGTGTGACCCCATTGCATTGCACAAGCAGTGAAGCGATGGCGGCCAATTTGGGAGCGGTCGCTCAAAGCACACCGACGCCTGCTTGTGCCTGCTGCATCCTGCAGGATGCAAGCCTCTTTCAGCTGACATAGACTTGCGGCAGGTGGTAGCTCCAGCTTCAGGACAGCGGCTACAGCATATGGTGTGTCCGAGGCTACCAAAGCAGTTCTGAATCTTTTGTTTGTATATACTGTAGGAAATATTCAGCAAGTTTGGGAAGCTCCATCCGCCGCGAGACGTAGCGCTGCCTTGCTTGCCCGCACACCCCCAGGACAGCTGGACCTTGTCCTTGGGCTGTGCGTCAGTGCCTCACGCGGCTTTCCCTCCCAGTTTTCTGGACACCGAATGACACTTGCCCTCTTCACAGTTCAAACGCACACTCACCAGCTCAATCACTCACTTACGACCGCAACCTCTCGGCAGCAGGAACTGCAGTCGCGCGGCCTCAGTGCCGCGGATGCATGCTCGACTCCGGCATGACCCTGCGCCTGACGCTCTCTGTTTCCGCCAACGGCGGCGGCGGCGGCGGCAGCAGCAGCAGCAGCAGCAGCAGCAGCAGCAGCAGCAGCGCCGGCGGCGGCGAGGCAGCCGCGGACTCGAGTGTCGGAGCTGGCGCCACAGCTGCCAGCCGGCTTGCCGACTTTAACTTTGGCCTGCAGCGCGACGATGGCCGCTGCAAGCGCTTTTCATTCAAGAGCCACGTGCGCAGCCCGTCCTCTTACTTCTTCTACTGCGGCCGCCGCCGCGCCCCGGAGGGCGCCGGCTGGCTGCGGACCGAGCACGAGGTCGCCGCGTGCCCGCAGGGCTTCCGGCGCGCGTCTGTGCTGCTGCGTGCGCGCGGCGCTGCCGGCGGCGGCGCGGGCTGTGAGGTTTGGGTCGGTAGAGGTGTGTTTTGTGCCGGCCTATGAGCCTTGTGGTTGAGACACTTCACTTGAGTACAGTAGAGGGGGTTTAAGGCCGTGAGGGGCAATTTAGATTCTAACCTTCGACTTGCGTGGGAGTGGCTGCCACTCTAGCTGACAAGAAAAGTGCGTGCGGCACTCGAAGTTTGCCTGACACCCGCACGGCGTTGTTCTGGCAAGGTGCCTGCAGCGCCCACCACCCCTCACTGTCACTCGTACTTGGGGCCGCTGCCCACTGTTCTGCGCTCCTGCGCGCCCCCTTCCATGGGTGTACTTAGGGACGGCCCCATTGTTTGCATGTTTTTGGGGGAGGCACCTCTGTTGGGCTGGCAAACCATGGAAGCGCTTGGTGGCATGTGCCTCACAATCGATGCTGCCTTTGCGAGCATCGCCGGGCCAGGCCATCTGTACAGCAATGCCGCCGCGCCACCTTCTGGTCTGTACAATGATTTTACCGCGCCTCAATGCTACGTGCGTCCCGATGCACTGCTTGACGCATAGCGCCTGCGTGTGCTGCAGGGTGATAGGCGTTGTGCCGCAGGCTCACGAGCCTGCCCGCCGCGCCCAGCGCGCATGCACGCTGGGTTGGCCACCTTTCCTAGGGTCCGCTGAAACCAGGAAAACAACATGCACAATGCCAAGCAACAGCAATTAATCAACCGCTCTGCAATGTGCAGGGCGTCGGCCGCATTTATTGGGCCCTGCTGCAATGAAAGCGAACGTCGCCCTGTCAACCGCGTGGGTTTCGGCCAACAAGCCGCTGCAACCAGACTTGTTCCTGCCCATCGCCCGCCTCCTTCTGTATCAACGCATCCTTTGTCATATTGGCGGCTCGCCGCCCCTTGGCATGCAGTCCCAGCAGCAGCATGGCCCCGGCCCCGCGGTGGACAGCCACCTGCGGGCTGGATCGTGAGTCCACCAGGTCATGAGCTTCAAATTTGGCAGCCGCATGAGCGCCGCGATGTGGGCGCACCTCTGAATCTTGGGAATGAAATGCAGCTCGAAATGAGGGACCCCCCTGAGGGCGTCCGCAGATTGCTCGGAGACGGCGAGCTCTGGCCAGCAACAGTGCCAGAGGACGAGGCGCAGCGTCCGCAGGAGCGGCAGGCCCCCGATTGCCTCAAATAGCGGCTCCCCAGGCAGATGTAAACTCAGCTGCACATGCAGCTCCCGCAGCTGCCGCAGCGAGCGCACGACGCGCGCCCAGGCATCAAAAGTGCTGCTGAGGTCCACAAACGCGGTGAGGCTGGTTAGGCCCGTCAGCGCTGACAGGGCGCCAATCGCGTTGGGCTCTCGCCACGAGCCGCTTTGGTGGCCACCGCACACGTACATGGCCAGGCGCTCCAGCTGTGTAAGCGTGGCCAGGGCCGGCAGTGTGTCCGCTCTGGCGTGGTCTGCAGCGCGCCCGGGGTGCAGAGATTGGGCGCCGCGACAATCAAGCAAGCGTAAGTCGCTGGTGGGTTATGCCGACCGCTGGCAGGCCCAGCGCAGCTGCAGCCTGGTACATGAGCTCACTCACGCATACACACACACACACGTAGATACGCGCTAAGATACACAAATACATAATGCAAACATCTCAATATCCCCTGCCTCGAGCGCGCCCTTTGCACCTGCGCGTGCCCACCCATGACTCACCGTTCAGCATCACATCGAGGCTCCGCAGCTGGGAGAGGCCAGACAGGCGGCGCAGCTGCTGAGCCGGGTACGGCACGGCGGCGCACATGTCGAAGCGAGCTGTGCAATCGGGGACGCGCACGCTGCCAGACCCGTCTGCGAATTGCACCGTTCGCTCGCGCACGCAGCAGGTTCCGTACAGCTTCAGCACCGCCAGCTGGCGCAGGGCGCTGGCCAGCAACCCCAGGTCTGCCCTCTGGTGGTTGCAGTTACTCAGGTCGAGGCTGGTGAGGGCCGTCAGCCACGCGAGCGGCGCGACGCTGACCGTTTCCCCGAGCGTCGCCGACAGCTGCAGCCGCCGCAGGTTGCACAGCGGCCGCAGCAGTGCTGCGACGGCACGGACGCGGCGGTCCCAGATCGCTTCGCGCTGCGGCCCCGCGGCTGCCGCCGCGACGTCCTCAAGTGGGCCGTCGTCGTCACTGCCGCACGCCAGAGCCACCGGCTTGGGCACTCGGGGGGCGCCTTCCAGCGTGAGGCGCGCGGCGCGGATCTGGGGCCGCAGCAGCTCACGCCACGCCCGGCACACGTGCAGGGCCGCCCACACCCCGGCGGGGCCCAGGTGGGGCGCGAGGGCGTCGAGGATCTGGGGGGAGGATGTGGCAGTGCAAGAGCATAGTTGGACTCAGCATCCCCCAACAGGCGCGTGGCAGGCGTCGATCTAGCCCCTACAGGTGAAATTAGGTGGACGGGGAGGGCCCATCAGGTAGTTCGTGAGTACTTGTTCTGGTGCTTTTGCTGAGGATTGCGCAGCGGGCGCCGTTGCCATTGGCCTCCCCAGCAACCTGCAATACTGTGACCATGCTCCAGGCGCGTGCAGGGTGCCAGCCCGCATGCGCACCTCGCGTGTAAGCAGGGCAGCGGCGGCGGCGGGCGGCGCGGCACCCCTTGGGTGCGCCGCGCGGCTTCTGCGCGGCCGCGAGTCTCGGGCCCCTGTTTGTGCTGGCACGGTGGCCTCGCAGGCATTGGGCTTGAACCTGGCCCCTGATCGTGTACAAGACACGGCAAGGTCCCTGCCGGCATAGACCAAGAGCGGGCGAGGCGCGCGCGACAGGCTCAGTGCAGAGTGAGGTTTCGGAAAGTCTACGCGATGCAGATTGCTGCGCTGTGGAAGCCAGGATACGTTTGTGTCCAATTCAGTGAGCTCACCCGGCCAAGGAGGCCCGCGTCCTCATGTTGGGAGCGCGAGGAGGCCTTTGCAAAACGTTTGAACTGCGGACGTGATCTGTGGCTGGCTGCTGCATAAACTACCGGTACATTTGATGACAGGTTTCTCATTGTGGGCTCGCACACCGTACCGGTACCGAAGTTGGCGCAGGTGGCAAACCTGCCGCGCCCGAGGCCCCGAGCAGATGGTGCGCCAGATCCCAGTGGCTAGATCACGCCAACCAGCCATACCAAACCAGCATGAATCAGGACGCTTTAACCTGCTGGATTGCATGCCATGTCACCTTTCATAACAGGGTGTTTCCATGTTCAGTGCCGCCCTGACTCCGATTGACTTGCAACACCGCTTGCACCCTGGCTGCAAATGCCCGCACTTGAATCATGTGCGTGTGATGGGCGCAATCTCGCCACGTTTTCAGGGCAAGCTGGGCGGTTGCTGCAACCACCGGCCTGAAGTTGGACTATCGGCCAGGGCTGTTTCTTGCACAGCACTCCGCACTGGCTGAGCATGTGCGCCTGTGGAGAGCAGTTGGAGCTGGGTAGGCAGGGGCGTCACGAACCCTGCCAGGTACACTGGTCACGTCTCCGCGCTCTTACGCACCAAAACCCCACCTTTGCACTCGCTCATGTCATATAAAGCATGAATCTCAACCTGCTGCGTTGTTGAGTTCCTCATACAATTTCAAGCCTCCATTCAGTGTACAGGCAGCTATGCAGCAGGGAACCCCCCATCCACTTCGAATGTGTTTGAGCGCTTTGCTGCTTGTCGCACACTTGGCACTCGAAGCCCCCTGTGACACGGTGACAGTTGACTACGAATCCAAGGTGACGCCAGGACTGGATTGCATGGATTACGGAACGGGCTGCAATTCCACCGGCCGCTGCCCACTGCCCGCCTCTTGCCAAGTGCTGTAACAACACATGCTCATCGTGACGGCTCGCCGGCCTTCTGCATGCAGTCTCAGCAGCAGCATGGCCCCGCCCCCGTGGTGGGGAGCCACCTAAACGACCTGCAACCCCACCTGGTGGTGAGCTTCTTACTTTGGCAGCTGTATGTGTGAGCGCCGCGATGGTGACGCACGTCTGAACCTTGGGCATGCAATGCACGCAATGCAAGATCAGGGATGCCCCCTGAGGCCGTCCGAGGACAAAATCAACTGCGAAGTTGCACACAGCCAATCATCACTTTCAGGTGATCTGAGGATCACTTGGGTGATCTGAGGATCACTTGGGTGGCGTGGCTCAAGGCCCAGGAGCTGGTGCGTGCGTATGTCTTTGGGGGAGGGGTAGGCCCTCACAACCAGAAGGCCGGCAGCATATCACTACTCTCCCACCTAGCCAAACACCCCTCCATGTCAATCATCCGTTGGGGCGCATTTCCAGCAGCAGCACGCCCCTGGCCCCTTGGTCGCGCGCCAGCTCCCCAACGACCTCCACCAAACTGTCAGCCGGAGGTTGGGCAGCTGCATAAGGCGTGTGACGCTGGAGCACTCCCTGATATTGGGCTGGATAAGCAGCTTAAGTTGAGGGATACCCCTGAGGGCGTCTGCTGACCGCTCTGATGCGTCGCGGCGCCCAACTTCATAGAAGTACGGCGCCACACAGAAGACCAGGCGCAGCGCCCGCAGGCGCGGCAGGCCCTCAATCGCCGCAAACAGCGGCTCCCCTGGCAGAGTTTTGTCAATGTGCATCTGCAGCTCCAGCAGCGCGCTCAACGAGCCCAAAACCTGCGCCCACGCATCAAAGGCGTCACCGCGGGCCCCAAACGCAACAAGGCTGGTCAGGCCCGTCAGCGCAGCGAGGGCGCCAACTGCGCCTGGTGCACACCATGAGTTTGTGTGTGGGTCAAAGGGCACAAAGGGTGTACACGCCCAGGTGATGCAGCTGGGTGAGCATGGCCAGGGCCGGCAGAGCGTCCTCTTTGCAATCGTCTGCGGTGCGTCGGGGGTTGCATGGCATGGGTGCTGCAGCGACCACGCATGCACATACAGAAAATGCGAGCCATTGAAGCCGGTGGCAGCAGGCTCCCAGCCAGCAGCTAGGGCGCCCCAGTGCAACCACATGCTCAATCGCGTGTGCAAACATACCCGTTGTACACACGAGCACGTGGGTGGGTACACACACACGCACGCACGCACGCACGCGCGCACGCGCGCACACACACACACACACATACACACACACACACACACGGCACCGTCCCCTGCCTTGAGCCCTGCTGAAACCACGGCAGCCCTCCCATGACTCACCGTTCAGCATAATGTCGAGGCTCCGCAGCTGGGAGAGGCGAGACAGGCTCCGCAGCTCTTCCGGCGGGTACGTACCGCTTGGCCTTGTGCAGGACGGACTCTGAGTAGACGGAAACGCGCACGCTGCCAGAACCGTCCAACAGCTGCGCCGCTTGCTTGCGCGGGCAGCTTAGATACAGCTTCAGCACCGCCAGCTGGCGCAGGCCGCTGGCCAGCACCCGTAGGTCTGCCCTCTGGTGGTTGCAGTCGCTCAGGTCCAGGCTGGTGAGGTCCGTCAGCCACGCGAGCGGCGCGACGCTGACCGTCTCCCAGTGGGACGTTGACAGCTGCAGCCGCCGCAGGTTGCACAGCGGCCGCAGCAGCGCCGCCACGGCGCGGACGCGCCGGTCCCATGTGGGTGCCCGTGACCCCGCCTCAGCCGCCGCCGCTGCCACGACGTCCTCCAGAGGGCCGTCGTCTTCGGCGGCGAACGCCAAGACTGCCGGCTTGGGGGCGCTGGCGCCGCCTCTCAGCGTGAGGCGCGCGGCGCGGATCTGGGGCCCCAGCAGCTCACGCCACGCCCGGCACACGGGCAGGGCCGCCCAAAGCCCGGCGGGGCCCAGATGGGGCGCAAGGGCGTCGAGGATCTGGGGGGAGGATGTGGCAGTGCAGGAGCATTGTTGGACACAGCAGTGCCCGGGAGTTGCGTGGCAGGCGGGACCTAGCTAGTCTCTACAGGTAGAATGGGGCGGAAATGGGGTGGGCAGGGCCCAACGAGGTTATTATAAATGCTTTGCGCGCAGGCGCAGCAAGGCGCTGACAAGGCCTCCTCGGCCTTCCGACCGCGCGTCCGGCGCCACCTGCATCGGCCTGCCCAGCGACGTGCGATTATGCGACCATCTTCCACGCGACAGAAGCATGCCAGAGTGCATGCGCACCTCATGCGTGAACAGGGCAGCGGTGGGTGGTGCGGCGCCCCTTGGGTGCAAAGCGTGGCTGCTGTTTGGGCGCAATTCTTGAGCCTCTGGTTGTGCTGTCACGTTGGCCTCACAGGCATTGGGCTTGAACCTGGCCCCCGACCGTGTAGTAGACGCCGCAAGGGCCCTGCGGGCATGGACCAGGAGGGGCGAGGCCGCGAGACATGTTGGCACCGAGGTTTCGGAAAGTTCGCGCGAAGCAGATCGCTGCGCTGTTGCAGACAAGGTCACGATTGTGCTCATTGCGGTGAGCTCACTCGGCCAGGGAGCTCCGCGTCCTCATGGTGGCTTTGCGAGGAGGCCTTGGCAGTTGAATCATTGAAGTGTGCAGTTGATCTGTGGATGGCTGCCGCACACATTTTGGACAATTCTGTGCTCTACAATCGTAGGTATGGGTGACAAGAATCGCAATATTGGGGGCATATTGTATGTTGGTATGGGTGTCGGCGGCAACGAGCAGACGGTGATGCGCCTGAGCGAAGCTGTGCCGACGTCAGCCCGCAGGCACAGCTCCCTTGCCAGCAGCTGCGCAGTCGCGCCAGGGCGGTGCAGGAGTGCACGCAGACCTTTTTCTTGGTTAGTTCGGGGCGGGGGGTGCGGGCGCGTGCCGGGTCACAATAGCATGACAGAACTTTGCGGCAGGTGATGTTTCCAGGTACACGACGACCGGAAAAGCCTGTGGTATGCCCGACGTCATTGAAGCATTGCTGAGTCTGTTTGCGAGAAGTTCCGCCGGATGTCCGCCGCGACTGACGGCGCTGGTGGGTGCAGTGGCCCAAGTGGTGTACACTCAGCAAGGGCTCGAGACTCTGTACGTCCAGCGCGCAATCGCATGCGCATGAGGCGTCGGCATGGGCGCCAATCCGCCATGCGCACGGCACTGGGGGGGGTGGCAGCCACCACTGCCGCCCTGGAGTGGGACGACGGGCCAGGGCTGTTGCGTGCGCGAAACTCCACTTCAGCTCTGCATGTGCGCCTGGGGGGAGCGGTCAAAGCTGGGTAGGCAGCGCCACCACCCAACCCGCCAGGCCGACACCCTCACAGCATAAGCATGGAATTAACCTGGCGCAGTGTCAAGTTCCTCGTGAAGTTTAAGCCGTTGATTGCTATGTGCTGTGGTGATATCATTTGTAAGTTGATCCGCTGGCTGGTTGACGCCGGGACGGGCCCAAGGTATTGCGAACGTGTCTGCGGTCACCGTGACGACACGCAGTGACCCAGTTACCTTTGATCCTCCGCACCGCAAAAAAGCACCACCCAAGGCGAATTTCGCCTTTCCTTCAATGACAATGCGGTTTGCTGTATGTAAGCGCTCTGATCAGCGGTCATATATCCGGTTCTGGATCTGGCGTGAGCACGGATCACAGGTGCAGCGCGAGTTTACACCGTGCAATCCGCGGGATGCTCGATTTACCGGGATGTGCGGCATTCAAACATTAATCCTTGGCAGCCATGGCACCAGCTGACCGGCTCCACCCCGCAACCCGTGCCGAATCACTCGCCACTTTGCGCGCCTGTCGCAACTGCGTGGCGCCCCGCTGCGCTCACTGTGCTGCCGCCCTCACTGTGCTGCCGGAAGCTGACCGCCTGCCCGTGGATGTGGCCGCCTCCTCTCGCACGCGATCCAGCACACTTGCGGGTGCGTCGTCTCCTGCTCATGCACCCGCCCACATTCCCTCCCCCCCTTGGAATTGCCATGACACCCCCGCCAGACCCAACGCTTCCCTGGGCAACGACGCGGCGGCGACGACAGCGGCCTCCCGCCGCCTTCCCAGCAGCTTCCCAGCAGCTGCCGCCATGGCAGGTGCGATCAAGCCGTTCAAGGTGGCCGTACCTGACGAGGAGCTGGCCTATCTGAAGGAGCGACTGGCCACGACCCGCTACCCCGACATCCTGTCAGACATACGGCCCTGGCAAGATGGCACAGATCTGGAATACTTCAAGGTTTGGGGGCACTCCATGTTGCTGCATGTGATTGTGGTCTGTGTTTGCTTTGGAGGGCGTGGCACCACCCGGGCACCTTCTGCCGTGTGCGTGAGTCACCGGCTCGCACCCCGCCGGCCGCGGGCAACGCATGCGCATATGGCAATGCGGGCGCCAGGAAACAGCGCCGGCAGCTGCGACTCACCCGCTCGCACACCTGCGCCTCCACGGCGAGCACTGGCAGCCAAAGCACCCAACGTCTGACATCCAGCCACCAAAACGCCCCACTGAAATCAAGTCATCTCGGCCCCGGATGTTGCTCGCACCTCTAACATCTAAAAACCCTTATGTGGAACGCCACACCCTCGCGGGACCCCCAGGGTTTTGTCGAGTACTGGCGCACCGCCTACGACTGGCGCGCCTGGGAGGCGCGGCTCAACGCGTTCAGCCAGTACACCTCGACCATCCAGGCAGGCCGGGGCCGGGCGGCTGCGTGCACGGCTTCGCCCCTGCGACAGTTTGCGTATTGCTTGTGCCTCATTCCGGGGCCGGCCCCACAACCGGCCCCGCCTGCCGGGAGCTCACGGTGTGGCGCTGCCGCTCCCGATGGCGGCGCGGCCTCGCTCCAAAGCTCCGGGGCTGGGTGTTGGGTGTTTACAGCGCCAGCAGCCTCGCGCAGGTGCATTTTTGTGCGGCTGCGCTGGCCCTGTCCCTCGTCGGCCCCTGTTGTTGTGCCATAGCAAGGATTGATCGGCCCTTGCAGCCGCCGTCGCCGGCACTCCCCGCTCCTCAACCGCTCTGCCCGTCCCCGCCCCCAAAGCCTGCCCATCCTTGACGGAATCGCCTGACAGTCATCCAACGAACGGACCGCCATCCTTTCCAGCGACTGCCACTCTTTCACTTGACTGCCAACCCTTCGATTGACAATTTCACTTGGTGTTCGTTTGATCGACTCTACCCTAGCCCCCCCCCCCGCCAAACCCCATAGGGCATAGAGCTTCACTTTGTCCACGAGCCCTCGCCAAAGCCGGGCGCCATCCCCCTGCTGCTGCTGCATGGCTGGCCCGGCTCCTACTTTGAGTTTTACAAGGCGCTGCCCCTGCTGCAGGCGGGCGGGCGGTTCCACATCGTCGTGCCCTCGCTGCCTGGTGAGGGGGGGAGGACGGGTG